AAAGGTGATCTGGGGAGCCTGGGCTCCCTTCCCAGGGACCCTCTCGGGGGCATCACAACAGCAGTCATGAGGAAACAGCTGGGCCTCGTATGAGTCCAGGTGACACCGCCAGGGCGTGGTCAGTGCACCTGCACTGTAGTTGCTTAAAAAGTGAATTTCATTTTAGAATGACTTGAGGATGAGCGATGCCAGAGTAGCACCGGCGTTTAACCTCGGCAGGGACTTCAGATGGAAGTCGGCAAGTCCCAGCTCCCACGTCGCTCCAGGGTCGCCCCTGTCTGCACTTGTAGCAGGGGTACGTGGGGTCAGCGCTCCACGGGCATCTGTGGGGCTGCACCTTTCCGAAAGGTGTTACGTCTTTACACAGGGAGGCTCATGTCTCTCTCATTTCTACCCTCTGATTCCCCTTGAACTCTTGGGGTCCAGTAAAACAATATGTTTGCGTAGTAACCCTCCAGACAGTTGAAGTTAGCTGCTGGGTTCCCCTCAGTCTTCCTTCATAGACAGCACCAGCAGCTCCAGTAATTAACAAGATCGGAGATAGGGTTTAATTTTGTACAGGGTGGGTTTTCTCTTTTAAAGTATAAGTTAGTGGATTCCTTTTGGATAGTGATTTGTTAGCAAATGGTTAGAACAGTGTAAGTTTAACGTTTATGTTTGTATGTATTTGAACTTGATGTTCTTAAAATACATGAAATATTTAGTTTCACTTTTATTAGATGAAATCTGGATTCTTTTCAACCTAATATTAGAATTAACAGCATTTTGATACTATATGAAATAAATAGAAAAACACTGGTATTGCAGTTAGCTTCAGTATTACAGTCCCTGCCCTGATGAAGAGCTATGCTGTTTATAAAAAGTGGCTCTGTGGGTGGCGGCCACTCGATGTGTCCCTTTCACATCGATGTTTCTCTCTCCTCCTCTCTCCTTCCCGCTCTATCTGAATAAAAAAAATGGAAGGATGTCCTCAGGTGAGGCTAAAAAAAAAAAAAAAAAAAAAAAAAAAGTGGCTCCAAGTTGTATCAGAGATCCAGGAAAACTTAGGGTTCCTCAAGAAAAATGTGGGAGTAAGCAAGCAAGAGACTCTCAGGGAGGTATAGTTGATGCCTTAATTTACTTTACAGCTGTTTCTAGTGCCTGCTCCATGACATGGACCGTTGTCAGACCTTGGGAACACAGTCGTGTCCAAGACACTATCCCTGGTCTTGACACTTACACCCCCGTGACAAAGGGCACTTACAGATCCCACAGTGCATGTGGCGGTGAACGGGAATGGCGCAGGGCGCAGGGCGCTTTGGGGCGAGGAGGTAGCAGGCGAGGTGCAGGCTTGACGTCTGAGAATGTGCGTGGAGGCTGTCCGTGCGGGGCTTGCAGAGACAGTGCGCGAGGAGACCGAGGCACCCCTTGATACGGGCTCCAGTCATCGGCGGGCGGTGAGGCCGGATCATCGTGAGTGAGTGGGGACCGGAGTCTAGTCCCCTCCTCTGGTCTCATTCATGTTTCCCTCACCTGGACCGTGGTGGAGGGAGGGGCCGCTCGCCCAGGCGGAGGAGGAGCCCCCAGCCGCAGCGAGAGCGAGCTGGAGGGGATGTTCTGGTTAAGTGAGGGTCACAGCGGTGAGGTCGCTTGCTCATTTGTAGCCCATAGGTTTTGCACTGGATGTGTTATTTTTGAAGCCTAAAATTTTTAGTTTACTGAGGAAAGTTGGAGTTGACGACCTGGGTTGAAGAGATCACGAGCTTGTTGGTGGGCTGGAGATCTTGTCCCTTCTGAAGGCTGGGTGACTGCAGGCAGCCGACGTTCGTCCGGCTGGTGCCCGTGTGTCTGCTCGGTGAGCCCTCCCGTGGGCTTCGCTGGCACTCAGTGGCCCAGGCACATGGTTTTATTTGGGCATGTTTTAGAATGAGTGGACGGAGGCCTGGCCAGCTGCCCTCGGCCCGTCCAGTGCGGAGCATGGTCTCTCCTGGGTGTGCGGGTCTGTGCCGGAGAGGGAGTGCCCGGCCCCAGCCGCTGGCTTCGCACAACCAGGTGCTGGGCGAGACTTGGCCCACGCGCCCTCATGTGCTGGCCCCCCACTTACAGTGACCCCTGTTTGCAGCAGAGCTCCCTGATAAACAGGAAGTAGTTTTTCCCCACCTTTATCTTTCCTTTTAAACTTTCGGGTAATTTGAAATGAAGAGCGAAATGGATATGTCTATTCAAGCAGTCTACAGTTTGACCTTGACATACCAAAGTCAAACATAATGTGTTTTGATAATTTTCCTAAGTTACATTCTTGTTAGTAGCTAATATCTCCTTTTTGAATAGAAGAAAATTCTTATTTCACAAGCTCTTACTTCATAAGAGGGCCTTCACATTTCATACTGTAAACACATGTGTCTGAATTTAGACAAGAGGTATTGAGATGTTCCTTTTTATTAAGGCAAACAAGATTAAAATGTATGATTTGGGTAGCTAATCAGAAGACTAGTAGTCATCAGTCAAAGTTTTGTTTTTTTAACTCTTTCTTTATTTGGATAGACTGTTCATCCACCTTATCACAAGTTAATTGATGTGATACTAGGTCAAGAAATAGCATTTTTAATGAAATGAAATATGACCCTGCTGTTAGTAACGAGGCTTCTGCAGAGAGATGGAGGTGCCTGTGGACAGAGACGTAGGAGCCCACGCCACACGGGAGTGTGTACCTGGCAGACGGCTGCCCGGACCTTCCTCGGGCAGTGCTACCGCGAAGAGGTTTTGCTCCCTATTTTTATTGTTTTTAGGAGATTTGTTTTATCATAAGGTTGGTTAAATATATAAACAATTTTTAGTAGGCATTTAAAAAATCCTTGGTGGGCTACAGTGTGCAGTGAAAGTACGAATTGTGTGCCTGCCCTAAACCAACACCAGTGCGGTCCGTGTTCAGCAGGGTTCCTCGAAGGGAAACTGATGGGCCAGCGCGTTTTCTGGACTTGGTGGAACACACACGTAAGCGGTTCTGCCGTTTTCTTCTCGTCGGAGCTAGAACGAGCCCTGGGGAGGTGCGTGTTCTTCGGCCCCCCTGCACGGCAGGCTCTGTGCCGCCCCCTTCCCTGCATCTGAGGAGCAGGTCCCTGTCCTCGCCCGGCTGCCCTCGCCGCCTCTCCTGACTGCTCGGTCACTGGTCCTCTTCCCTGGTCAGGCTCTTCCGCCGACCAGCTGCGCATGACCTCACCATCAGGGCCTCCCTCAGAGCCGGTTTCCAAATCTGGAACCTTCTCTCTTTCTAGCGAAGAGTCCGTATGTAACGATAAAACCTGGGCCGACTCGGGCACACAGTCAGCCACGCACCACCGTCGTCGCTGTTATTGGGAACCTCTTACATCTTACCCTTTGTCCTATGACTGGTTCTTGCTCCTTTCGCTGCTGACTCACTCGGGCTTTCTCTTTCCCAAAACTGTGCTCAAACTTACTCGCCTCTCAAGTTCTGGCACTTTCTCTTCATTGCTTTCAGACCTCTACCTCGGAAACCCCTGCAACCTGCCTTTAGCCCCATCTTGCTAAGTGGCCATGCTGCCCCCACATTGGCTTTTCCTGGTTTCCATCCGCTGCTCTGTCATTCTGTGATGAAACGCCTGGTTTTCTTCCAGCTGTCTGTACCTTTTCCATTTGCTTCTCTAGCTTTGAGTCCTCTTGTCCCGCCCAAATGTGTGTGCTCCCTGAGGCTCTGTTGGTGAGCTTTTCTTCTCATCCTGCACCCTCCTCAGTGGCTTCTTGCTCCTGGGGCTTCAGAGACCTTTCCGTGCAGGTGGCTGCTGAAGGTGTGATTTCACCTGCCCTGTGGTCCTGAGAGGCTCACCTAGAGCTGTGGGCGTTGCAAGCTCGGCGTGTCCTAAGCCATGTTCATCTTGGCTTGTCTTTGGCCAGTTTCTCCCGGGCCCTGCAGCTGTGAACAGCACCCTCTCAGTCACGTGTCTTGGTGCTGTCTCTTGTCCCCTTTGCTCTCTGTCCACATGTGCACTGGCTGGGGTCTGCCCTGCAGAGCCTCTTCCAAACATTGTTCTGTGTGTGCCTGTGCAGAGGGGTATCTGTGTTTAAAGTCTTTTATCTCTGGATGATGGATTTATGTTGTCTGGATTTATTTTGTAACAGGCGTTTGTTATTTATACACTTGTACCCAACCTGTGCTCTCACTTCTCAGCCCCCCCCCCCGTCCCCCCCGTCCCCCGTCCTGATGTCATCCCGTGGGACTGCTGACTGGTTCCTCAGTTCACCACGTCTTTGCTCCGTGACTCAGCGCCTGGGCCCTTTGCTCTCTGCATCCCCGTTGTCATTGTTTGGGGCTTCCCTCAGACAAGCCTGCAGGGGTGGAACCCCTCTCCTGGCCAAAGGTGCTTCCTCCGCCGGCGTCTGGTCCCTGTGTCCCTGGCTGAGTCCTGCCTTCTGGTCTCTTGCATGGGTTTTTGTGTGAATTCCTTCATTAGATTGTAAGCTCCATGAGGGCAGAGACGGGTCTTACTCATTCTTCCCCCTTTGGGTGAGTCTCCCAACTTTCCTCGGGGTGTGACTTCTCTTCCCAGTGGCTGTAGTTTTGGTGGGATGGGCAGTGTCTGCCAAGAGGATGCTCTTTCCCTGGAGTTTGAAGTTCGAACCATGGGGTGCAAGGACTGACAGTGATGGGCGCTGGTCCGCCCCGGCCAGCGTGCTCCGAAGACGCCCCTCGTTAGTTCCTGCCTCCCGGTTCCGGAGCTGCTCAGGTCCCTGGACTGCGAGCCTGGTTCTTCAGACTTTCCTTCGCACCTGTGAGCTATCGTGTATCTTTACAATATCTGTCAGTCTCTCTCTCTCTTTCTCTCTCTCTCTCCCCCCTTTGTAAAATTTTAAGATAGCCAAAGACAGTTTTTGTTGGTTTGACTGAAAGATTTCTCCCAGTAGAGCTGTTGTGGTTAGAACTGACCGGACTTGATCGTTCTAGTTCTCACACTGATTCTGATGTGTTCTTTCCTTCTTTTTAAAAACCCAAACCAAACGAACAGCCCGAGACTGCTGCTGCTCTGAAGCGGACAGTGGAGGCCCTGATGGACAGAGGCGCGGTCGTGAGGGACCTGGAGAGCCTGGGCCAGCGCGCGCTGCCCTACGCGATCTCGGCCCACAGCCAGCGGCACAGCAGAGGCGGGTGAGTGCGGGCCGCCGGCCGACAGGCGGCGCTGCTGAGTCCGGCTCAGACCGCGGCACAGGCGGCGGGCGCGGGCGGGGACCCGCCGGACGGGCACACTCGGCTGCACACGGGTCGTGCTGGGAGCGGCGGGCCAGGAGCTTTCGCTGGGGGGAAACTGTTTTATCTTCACCTGAGGATACTTCCCATTTGTCTTGTGATAGGATGGGCGGGGAGAGAGTGCAAGAGAGAGAGAGAGAAACATGGACCGAACCGCAACCGAGGCACGTGCCCTGGACCAGAAGCGAACCGGCCCTTGGACGGCCTGGTCCCTTGGGGCCTGGGGGGCCTCTGAGCGTGCAGGGGCGGGACAGCCTGGGGGGCCGCCCCGCCCTCCGCTGTCTCGCGGGATTCCCCTGGTGCAGAGCCGCGCCCTCCCACGCGTGGAGGATTCGCCCTGCAGTAACGGCTCCTCCGTGGAGACGTGGAGACGCTGAGACCAGTTCGCGAGCTGGTGTGAAGCGTCTCGCAGCCCGGACGGTGTCTGTGTGCCCTGGTCTCTGGCCTGGAGGGGGAGTCGCCCCGCTGCCGGGCGTCCTGGGCGTAGGGGTGGAGGAGGCGGCGGCCATGCGTGCAGCAGAGGGACCCCGGAGACCGCCGGCCGCCCCTGCTCCCGGACACTCGCTGCGTGCGCCCCCCACCCGCACTGCCCCGGGGCCTGTGGGCAGGCGCCCACGTGCGCTCTGGGCTGCTGTGGGCCCGGGGCCCGGGTCTCACCAAGGCCGGCCCCCCTCTGAGCCTCCTGCCCGCTGGGCACGGGCTGCGCTCCCTCCTCTGGTCGCCGCCCCTGCGTGGCCCGGCCTCCGCCTGGATGGCCCCTCCGAAGACAGGGCCCGAGGCGTCGCTAGGCAACAGGAGTGCACAGCGGCTGTTCCTCCCCACGGTCAGTAACAGTGAGGGATGGAGGCTGTGTGTATAACGTTACAAAACCTTAACGACAAAGGGGTTTGGCTCTAACAGCAAGACGCCGAGTCCTTTTGCTCAGAGAGCAGCACGTGTGGTCGGCCGGGGTTGGTGAGCCCGGCTCTCCCTGCAGCACCGAGCAGGGCAGCCGTCGTCCCCCTGTGCTCAGAGAGCAGCACGTGTGGTCGGCCAGGGGCGGTGAGCCCGGCTCTCCCTGCAGCACCGAGCGGGGCAGCCGTCGTCCCCCTGTGCTCAGAGAGCAGCACGTGTGGTCGGCCAGGGGCGGTGAGCCCGGCTCTCCGTGCAGCACCGAGCGGGGCAGCCGTCGTCCCCCTGTGCTCAGAGAGCAGCACGTGTGGTCGGCCAGGGGCGGTGAGCCCGGCTCTCCCTGCAGCACCGAGTGGGGCAGCCGTCGTCCCCCTGTGCTCAGAGAGCAGCACGTGTGGTCGGCCAGGGGCGGTGAGCCCGGCTCTCCCTGCAGCACTGAGCGGGGCAGCCGTCGTCCCCCTGTGCTCAGAGAGCAGCACGTGTGGTCGGCCAGGGGCGGTGAGCCCGGCTCTCCCTGCAGCACCGAGCGGGGCAGCCGTCGTCCCCCTGTGCTCAGAGAGCAGCACGTGTGGTCGGCCAGGGGCGGTGAGCCCGGCTCTCCCTGCAGCACCGAGCGGGGCAGCCGTCGTCCCCCTGTGCTCAGAGAGCAGCACGTGTGGTCGGCCAGGGGCGGTGAGCCCGGCTCTCCGTGCAGCACCGAGCGGGGCAGCCGTCGTCCCCCTGTGCTCAGAGAGCAGCACGTGTGGTCGGCCAGGGGCGGTGAGCCCGGCTCTCCCTGCAGCACCGAGTGGGGCAGCCGTCGTCCCCCTGTGCTCAGAGAGCAGCACGTGTGGTCGGCCAGGGGCGGTGAGCCCGGCTCTCCCTGCAGCACTGAGCGGGGCAGCCGTCGTCCCCCTGTGCTCAGAGAGCAGCACGTGTGGTCGGCCAGGGGCGGTGAGCCCGGCTCTCCCTGCAGCACCGAGTGGGGCAGCCGTCGTCCCCCTGTGCTCAGCTGTGTGCGGGTGCTTCCTTCACTCCTTCCCAGGGCGCCATGTGACCTCATGGAGGGTGGGTGGGGCCAGCATCCTAGAGTGGGCACCTCGCCCAGCGCTGGGCAGCGCGATGCTGCTGAGACCCCCGAGAAGCTGTGTGTTAGCGCGCCCAGGTTTCGGGCCTGTGGGTGCAGGCCATGCTGGCATTGGCTGGTCTGTTCTCTTTCACGGGTGGGACAGACTGGATGCTGGAAAAACACCTGGAGCAAAGCCAGAGCTAAGACAACACTAGCCGTCTGTCCTGGGTCCTGGGTCCTGACACGGCGCATGTCCCATGAGCTCCTGCTGCAGCCACTTCCTTCATTTTATTTAAGGATTTATTTCAGGCTCCTCAGCAGAGGAGAAGCAACATTCCTAAAGTGTGCTGTGTATGTGTGTTATATATAGACACAGAAGGGTGGTGCCCAGCCCCAGGCCAGGAGGTGCCTGTTTTAAGCCTGTTTTTCTGGGACTAATCAATGTCTGGCATTTTTGTTTAAGGTAATGTTTTCCAAAGTGGTTTCTGAAACGCTGGTTCTACAGATCTGCTCCCCCAGAACACATGTGTTCGTGCGATCAGTAGGTGTGGGAGCCCTCGGGACCCCGCCCTCCTGGAGCCGCAGCACACGTGTCCTTGGCTCTCCTTGAGCAGCCCTGGGCTGGGACGCGTTTCTGTCATCTTGATGGGCTACTGTTTGAATCCTAGGGCTGCTGTTTGGGTCTGGTTGGGTGCTTGGGAAGTTGGGGTCCAGATGGAGGCTTCCAGCTCACTCACCTGCTGTCTCCAGGCAGTGTCCGCAAACCACTGAGCGTGACTTGGAGCCCGGACTTCTCAGAAGGCCTGGGGTTGATCCTCGGCTCTGCGTGTGCTTTAGTCTCTTGGAGGTTCCCTAGATTTTCTCTCCTTTGTACCTTCACCATTCCCCTGGGCACCTTCTTCAGTTAGTGAGAAAGGCACGGTGTTGTGGAGCAAATGGGCATGTTCCTCAGAGTGTGAAGGGGGTGGTGCGACACCTGCAGCAAGAGCAGGGAGCAGATGCTCGCTGGACCCTGCTGAGGTCTGGGAGCAGTCGCCCAGCCAGATGGCCTGTGTCTCACTGCCCCGTGCACGCTAGTTCCAGGCTCCGGTCCCACTAGATGGGCCTAGACGGAGACCAGGTGATTTCCGGTGCAGGAGAGGGAACTGGAGACGGTGGGGTCCGCAGTTCAGTGCGGGGCCTGTCCTTGTCTGTAAAACATGCCTCAGGTCAGCTCTGCCCACCCCCAGGTCTGACCCTGCAGTGAGAAGGGCCCTGCCCGCCCCCAGGTCTGACCCTGCAGTGAGAAGGGCCCTGCTCCGCCCCCAGGTCTGACCCCGCAGTGAGCAGGGTGAGTGCAGTCAGGAGGCTTTTCTTTTCTGTTGGTCCCTTCTTCCTCCTGCTTTAAAATGTGAATAGGTGTGAACAGCAGAGACTTGCCGGACTGCATGTGAGATGGGTTTCTGTTTACTGTGTGCAGAGGGATAAAAATAGCTGGCTCCGTGGTGAACCAGTGGAATTTTACCGACTCGATCCCCAAATGCATCTGCAGCTGCTCGAAGAGGGTGCGCGTCTCCGAGGAGATCGGTGCCCCTGCGCCGTCCCCTGGCAGCCGGCACTGCCGTGGTCTTGTGCCTGGCGGTGTGACGACCGGGCCAGCATCCCAGCCCCCTCCTGAGTGTGGTCCTCCACGAGGAGCTGGCAGGGCAGGGCTGCGGTGGCCTCCAAGGTTCCCGGCTAGTGGCGGCACCCAGGGTCTGGAAGGTTCTGCAGCAGGGCAGTGGCCTTCAGGTGGACGCGGCCCAGCTCGTGGAAGCAGCAGCAGGGCTTTTCCGTGCCCAGCACCTTGGTCTCGGGAGAAACCCAGCGCCTCAGGCACTGAGTCCGCAAGGTCTGACCCACAGTCCAGGACCTGGCCACACCGTCTGTGTTCTGTCTTCAAAAGACAGGCTCCTAGACGCTTTGGCTTCAAATCCCTCCCCTCCCCCTCGCCCACCCTCATCCACTGCAAGCCACTGAGCTCCTCAGTGGAAATTTCCACTGTCTGCCGGAGGCAGGGGAGGCTGTGAGTGTGCCTGTGTGTGACAGACAAAGAATGTAACTCAGACTGAAGCACTTGCTCTGGGAAACTCGTAAATACAGGGGTACGGCAGACGAAATACAGAGCAAATACGACCTTCACATCTAGGAGCAAGGACACATTTCCTCCTCAGCCACTGCGGGTGGGGGTGGGGGTGGGGCTCGTGTGGGACCCAGGGGTCCTGGCGTCAGGGCCCCAGGGAAGAGACAGAGCAGCTTCCTCCTGAAACCGGCTATGGGTGGAGTGTCCCGGGTGCCTTTTCCAGGCTGGGCTGTCTGTCCTGGGGAAGCCATTTCTCTGGCCCCGCAGATCTGTGGTCTCGGTCATGGTCGTGGAGTGTGTGTCTTAAAACATGCACAGGTGGTGAATTATCATTTTGAAGCCCACTTGGCCAGGTTCTGCCTGGGAAGTAATTCGCTGTTCTCACTGCTGAGCACGGGAATCCGTGCTGAGAAATGCACCAGCGTCCAGGGCCTTCCTGTCCTTCCTCCTCTCCCAGGGTCAGTCATCCTTCTCCACTCGTGCAGGCTGGTGCTGCTTCGAAGCTCAGAGCTTTTTCATAGGAGAGGTGCCTGGTCCTGAAGCTGGTCCCGCCTTGAAGAGCATGGGAACCACACCCCTCGACGTGCCAGCTGTGTCCGAGGAGAACTGCTTGCACCGCCCTGCACCCTGTGCAGACCTGCCCGGTGCCGCTGAGCACACGGCCGAGGAGCCAGGTCTCTGCCTCCTGAGCTGGCTGGGGGCGGGGAGGACTAGCTAGCTGTTTGGAGAACTTGATTATTTCTGTTCCTTATTGGCATGTCAGCTTCAGGGTATGTGTAGGCAGTTGCAGTTAAGATTCTAAACGATTTCCGCTCGAGCAAGGAACTTACTGTGAGGATGGAGAGGAGAGAGTCCACATAG